AGAAAAAAAAAAAAAAAAATACTGATCGAATTGAGTATCCTCCTTTTTCGAAGTCGGTTAATAAATGTAATAGAAAGTATTGTAGCGCTTCCAAACACGCCGCGTAGTGTCGGTTGTTTAATGATAGCCAAAGTTCTGCCATAATAGTCAATGTTTTGAACTATTGCAAATATATTAAAAAATCAATCAACCGAATCAAATTCCTGCAAATCATGTGTATGTTTACTTTAGTATATATCAAAATAAAGATACTAAATACATAAATTATCTTCCATATCATACAAGATTTATCAATCGTTGAAGATGGAATACCACAGACAAAATAATTGCAGAGTACATAACTGATGTTTGGACTGTAGACCTCCTAATCTACAGTCAAGCGTTAAATCGTGTAGCTAATGTTTTCTTTGTATCAATGTGTCGTGCTTCAGAATTTGAAGATTAACTACATTTAATTCTTAATACCTTTTAAACAATCAGATGTCCGACCTCAAAATGGAATATACGAATATTCAGCTGTATGTTTTCTGTAAGATGATAAAATTTTGAAAATGAGTGAGTATAACACTTGGAAAATTCTGGTTGTAAGAAGAAAATTTTCCAGGAGATTAATAATGGATTTTTAAAAAAGTAGATGAAAATTCCATCAGCTATGCTTTTTCTTTCATCAACAAAGTAGAAGTCGGAGATCGGGGAGTGCAAAATACTTTTCCGTTTCTCATCTAAAAGTTTGGTTTTCATAAAATTCATGTGCATTTAGAAAACAAGCACAATGAACTGACAATGAGTTCTGTGCATTGTACAGCCACTTCGAGTATAATTACATGCCATCTCGATTGAAAAACGTATCAGCAGCGTTCCAGCATCTAATGAATAATATTCACCTGGTGTTAAAAACTTATTGTAGAATTATTTAGCTTTATTTAGATTTAAGTGAAATTGTATAAGTATGGGTTATGTGTGATTGAATGTAAAATAACCATGATTATTCGTTGTGCGTAATGTTGCGAATTGTGTGATGTTATATTGTAATAGCGAAGGTAGCGCTAAGTTCATTTGTATCGAAGAGCAAAGTAAGAGCAAGCGAGATAGCATTAGTAAACTTCTTACAAGAAAACATATCGAACCGCGATACACCGATTTTAATGAAACTTATGTGAAAGATAGTTCTCAAGAAAATATTTGACACGTATTTTTTTTTATCGGCCATCGTTCACATTGAAGGGGTGAAAATAGCCCTCGAAGTTGGGGGTTGGAATCATATTTTTGGGAATATCTCCGGAATTAAAGAAGATAATTGGATTTTTTTTTTGTAAATTGTTGGTCTTTAAATAGGAAATTTTTGTGCGTAAAAAAATTTCAATAAACTTTATTTGTTTAAATAATATTTTGAAAATTTATAATTTTTGTTTAAATTTTTGCACTAAATGTTGATCTATTTTTTGCAACTTCGTGTACGTAAACTATGGATAAAAATAGAGGATACGTGTTTTTGGAATTTGTTGTTTGTTGCAATGTTTATTAGATATATAATATAAAATCGCCTCCTGTGAAGAGGGGCAATCAGCATTTTTATTAAAAATATCATTATTTTGACAATCTTTTACAATATTTTAGACATTTTATACCTCTTTATATGCCGTTAATTGATTTCTGAATAATTGTTGTAAGCATCGCAGGTATGAGCGTGACGCGGTTATAATCAACGACATAACGAACATAGGCTTTTATGGCCAATACTGCTTTTATATTTTTACAGGCGTAAAGTCTTCAATCTAAATAAAATATTTAGAAATGTTGGAAACATTGGGATTTTTTAAGAAACTAAGAAAAAAGAATTAAATTAAATTATTTTTTAACAATATTGGCCATAAAAGCCTATGTTCTTTGCGACGGTGATTGCCAAATAACACATTTAGAACACATAATAGTAGAAGTTAGTGTACGAACTAACCAGAAGAAGCTATAAGCTATAAGAACTATGTACGTGTCATTGGAGGTTTATAGAACACTTTTCTAAAATAACAAAATTAGTATCTGATTTCTGCAAGAACTATCGAAAATTTGAATGATCATCACAACACCAACAGGTCTTGACAATCTTAAAGTCCAATTTAGATTTACGTACTTTTTTGTGAAGACCTGCAAACAAAGCTTCAAAAACTATTTAGTAGCATGTAGATCTGAACTATGTTATCGGATAAATCTATTCAAAACAAATGTTTGCAAACAGTTTTTATACCGTCTTCAAACATTTAATTTCGCGTTTGCGGTCAAAAGTATACATATATACATATAGATATAGACCATGCGTTAGAACGCTCCAAGTGGAACCTGGATGTAATATATTCAGAAATTACTGAAACGTTTAATATAACCACTGATGCCTCTGGGATAGTAGTAGCAACAATTTTGAACTCAGGTGAAATCGACGAGGACCAACTAATTTCCCATGCTTGAAGGATCCTAAATAAGGACGAAACACAATATTCTGCTATGTAGAATATTATGCTACCCACTATTCGCTGT